TGTTATGTAGGGTGAAATTGCTAGCTCTACAACCAACCCTCCTCCTTTATCCGGGCTTGGGACCGGCAAAGTGACCCAAAAGACACACTCTGGCAGAGTTACTTAGATTTTTTTTTTTAAGGTTTTTTTTTTTTTCATAGTTTTTTTCATTTTTTTTTTTTTTTTGAGGGGTACTGTGAGACTGGCCGCCTGTAAGTGCTTTGGGACGGGGGAGGGGCTCACGTTGAGGACAGTAACTGCAGAACAATACGTGCTTCACGCCAGAGTCTCCAAAACACCAGATAAGTCTCCAATAACACCAGAAAAAGTCGCTAGATTTGTCGCTAGTCGCTTTTTTGAAAAAAAGTCGCTATAGGGGTCTGAAAAGTCGCTAAATCTAGCGACAAAGTTGCTAAGTTGGCAACACTGGTCTGGTGGTGCTCCATTGAGCTCCGTGAACAGGTGGGAGGGGTTAACTCCTTTTGCAGATTGAAACGATTGGATCTGAGTTTACCGCACTACATACGTATGTAGTGCGCCAGAGTGTGTTGTTAGCATTTAGCCTAGCCATCTCCTTTGCTGCTAACGGAGCCCGTGGGGAGTAGCGCCACAATCTTGACCAGTGATTACATTTGCTAAACATTCCTCTTGCTCCTGCTTCAATTTCTTGATATAACCAGACCGGATTACTTTACTATCGCATTCTTCGCCACTGCCAAACTACAACCTGCCCGTTCTGCGCAAACTCTTGACGTCACCGGCACCGACCTACAACACCTGCCTTCCGCGCTCTCTGAGTAGCCGGTCGAAATACGACCGATTTGTATTCGCTAACACAGGGACCAGACCCAGACGGTTACATGCAGTGAAATGATGACTGAGCAGAGTGTACGGATGGCTATGGCCAGGCTAACGCTGTCTATGTCACGTGGTGAAATTAAGGAAGATCTGAGATCTGCTTCTCTTTGTAGCTCTTTGTAGCTTTTCATTATGCTTTTAAGAGTTTTATATTTGCCTCACCGTGTCTCGCTATTTTTATTGTTTTTGTCTGTGTGTTGCTTTGTGGTGTTGGTGCCCCCGGTGTCTCCTGTTTGTATTCCAATGTAGTTTTTTTCTGCAAATGGCAATAAATTGATTCTGATTCTGGTGACAGTGAATTTTACAGACAGTACAGGATGCGGTATGCGCAGGCCAACATTCTCATGCGTAAATTCAGCTTCTGCTCAACTGATGTCAAAGTGCAAGTGTTTAAAAGGGACCTAATCTTATTTTGTTCGTATATTGTGGTATTTTTTTGAGTTAAATAAAACTCATTTTGACAGATAGTTTCACCCTTAGCAGTTTCTATCAATAATAATCATGCAAAAATACATTCACGGAAAAATTGCCGAGACCGGAAGTGACGTACACATAGGTGTCATTGGGCTTTGTTGATATGCATTTGTAAGCCATAACGTTGTATACGGACGTTTTAAACAGATATTTGTCATTCAGTGATGGACAATACAAGTCAGGGGCTTTCATTTATGAGCCGTTGTATACTTGTTATTAGGGCTGGGCGATATGGCTGAAAACTATATCACGATATAAGTCATTCATATCGGTCGATAACGATATATATTGAGTTTTTTTATTTTTTAACCTAAATAAATATATTTGTCGTGTGGGCTAACCAACCTTAGCAGCCTTGTTTACAGTCACGGGGCGATGAGGATGGAGGAATATGTTCACACTGTGTCCCTCGTTGTTAGTCCTGGTTTAATCCTGGTTTTTTATTCCTGGTTTAGCTCCTGGTTTAGCTGTTTGAGGGTCTTGTGTCCCCGTGACCGCTCCGTGTGGCTCTCTGTGCCGCACATGCTTCCCGAGGAAAAAGTTAATCTCTTGCTTTCGCCGAATACATCGGGTCTGTCCACTGCCTCTGCCGCCGCACATGTTATTCCGCGCACGTACGTGCATAACCATTGACACGGCATTGAAACACGAGCTATAGATCCATGGACGCTACGCATGGTGCGGTTGTTGTTTTTGCATTTCCCACAAAGTTTTGCGGTTCCTGCTCGGCTGTTATTGGTCGAGAAGCCTCTGCCTACATCCCCCATAATGCCATGCGCTTATGAGTCGCCTTTACTTCCGGTGTTTTCTTCCTGTTTTTCCTGACGGAGTTAAGTTAAACTATCGAACATTCTATCGACCCCATTCTCTATTGATATCGAACACATGTCTATCGCAATATATATCGTTATCGTTTTATCGCCCAGCCCTACTTGTTCTGATTGTAATTCTGATTTTGAGGACTCTGACTCGGTTCAGATGAGGAGCAATCTGCAAGAAATGGACATTTGCGGACATTAGGGCCGTTTCCACGGGCTGGAGTATAGATCTATGGTCCCACCGGGTCCGACCCGTCTCGACCCGATTTGCGGATGCGGTCAGTTCGAGTTTGATGGTCCACCCGAGTGAGTGTAAATAGCTAAGTGTTAGCGAAGGTAGCGCTAGGGACGAAGGAGTACATCAGGGACAACATAGTGCAGAGAAAAGTTCAGAAGCGTAAAAGTGACTACCGTGAAATGAAAGATCCCAGCCGTAAAAGTGACAGAACTGAAAAGTCTGGAGGTGGTTTGACAACATGGATTGACGCTATTTTTACGGACATCAGCTAACAAGCAAACATCAGCTAACAAGCTAACACCAGCTAACACGTCAATACCCGCAACTCAGAAGCCTCAACTCTATGTCCCAGCTCCAGATGTTGAGTTTGAGAGAAATGGTGAGTGTCTTCAATAAAATGCAAACATGTAGTGTTATGTTCTTATTCTGAACGTGTGTCTGTGGTTCTAAAGTCATATATAAATGTGTGTCTGTGGTTCTGCTGGGTGTTCAACTTCCAAAACGCCGTAAGCATGGCGTAACGGATCAGAGATGAAACATGTGGACAAAGTAAATAGTAGTAATCGGCACGGTGGCTGAGTGGATAGCACTCTCGCCTCTCAGCAAGAAGGTCCTGGGTTCGAATCCCGGTTGGACCAGGGCCTTTCTGAGTGGAGTTTGCATGTTCTCCCCGTGTCTGCGTAGGTTTCCTCCGGGTGCTCCGGTTTCCCCTACCACTAAAAATATGTACAATAGGTCTGGCATGTGCCTCCTGTACTGGCACCCCCATTCCCAAAAATAACAATTGTAAACCGCTTTGAGACTCCGATGTGCAGTGAAAAAGGCGGTATATAAATAAAGATTACTACTTACAAAGTAAATACTCTCTGTTTACATGTTTCGGCTGCAGAGGTGTGAGCCATGATCACCACTGTCGACGTCTTAACGTGTCAACGTGAAGAAGCCGATGTTACTTCTAGAGCAGGGGTGACAAACCGGTTCCAGATAGGGCAGGTGTGGCTGCAGGTTTTAGTCCCAACCTGCAGGAGCACCAACCCATTTGAAGACCGGTGTTCTGTCCGTTTGAGCCGCTTATTGAGTTGTTTCAGTTGTTTATGAGGTAATGCAAACCTGTGCATGTGCGTTAAGACTGTCTTAATGCAATTTGAGGCAAGATGTTGAGGGTGCCATGTCGCAATTTGTGGGTAAAAGGGTTTGTGTGAAGTTTGGTTTAAGTAACTGCTCCTGTCAATCACACTACTACTGTGTGAGTCCCTTTCTTGTCGAGCTGAACCGCCAGAGAGGTCAATTCACTGACGTACAGTTCGTTGATGACGCGTCCTGTGGCTAACCCGACAGCTGTTAGCCTAGAACTTAGATTAGTTTATTAGTTCCATTATCAACCCGACAGACCAATTGTAAGCTAACAGCTGTTGAGTTAGGCCGATGACACGTCCTGTAGCTATATCAGTGAAATTACGTCTGCGGCAGTTCAACTCGACAGGAAAGGGACTCAGAGTAGTCGTGTGATTGACAGGAGCAGTTACTACCTAAACCAAATGCCACTCTTAAAACCCACATATCACGACATGGAACTAGGGGTGGGAACCTAAGGGTACCTCACGATACGATACAATACACGATACAAAGCTCACGATAACGATATCACGATGACGTTTATCAATATATTGGTCAGAAATATACAATATGCCAATTTATGGCATAAATAAAAGAAAAACTACACTTTATTTCATGATAAATGGAATGGAGATGCGTAATGTAGCCATATATTAAGTATTGATACCATCCATCCATCCATCCATTTTCTACCCTTTTATCCATTTCTGGGTCAGGGGGGTGACAATCAGAGATGCCACCCAAGTCTCATAGCACCAGCCCCTCACTGACCCTCTGCAGGTGGTGAGTCCATTGGAGTATTGATACCAATTTCTTTTTTTAAATTGTAAAAAAAAATATATATATATATATATACTTGGCAAATGCATATCAATAATCGAATCGCGGGAGAAAGTATCGCGATATATCGAAAAATCGATATATCGTCACACCCCTAGTGAGTAGCTGCTCGAACCAGTTAAACTGAATTTAGTGATACTTTATTAATAGTGTTATCTTTAATCAGCCACCTGTTATGGCCCCAAGTTGGATCCCGCTCTGTTTTAGATTTTATTTAGTTATACTGGTTAAGAAGCTAAATATAGATATGATGGTGCTTTTCGGCAACAAATTTGGTTCTTTATGTAAAACGTTTGAAATCGAATATCCTTTCCTCAAGTATTTATTTTGTATCCTTCACATTTATATATTGTAATATTTTTGGTGTCTGATGCAGGACCACTAACTCAACGCCCACAGCCAATTTTAATTTCACATTGGTTGAACAGTGAGTTCAGTGAAATCTTCCACGCTGACAGTTGCCCCAGTGGCATTGAAAAGATTCCTATGGGGACAATAAAATCTACCATAAACTTTTATCAACGCCTATATTTCAGGTGATATTTAGAAGAATCCGGCCCTTTGCTTTCAAATAATATATTGCGTTATTGCTTCACAAATGTCAGATTGAAATTTAATTTTAACTTGAGTTTATTTGCACTGCCTTGACGTCACCTACTTCCATGTTGTGTCTGTAGGAGCGCGAGTTACAGAGCACACTGCAGAACTCGAACGTGGACGAGCTGAAGGCGGAGGTTATGGATCTGCAGAGGGAGAAGGCGGCGTTGGACCGGACTCAGAGACAGCTGGATCAGGAGATGGAGATCCTGAACAATCACACCACCGCACGCACGCAGATGGACATGCTCAAGAAGGATAAGGTCATGAACCTGCTATATAAACCCGTTGAGGCATTTCTGATCTGAACAAAGTGTGTATGAATTGTGATCATATCAAAGCAGTCATCTGATATGAGGTCCATTGTTTGTTTTTTTGCCATTTAACCCTTCTCTTTATCTATCATATTCTGAAAGGACACTAGAGGGCAAACATTCCACACTAATGCTTCACGTGTCACGTTAAATCGGCAGCCACATATTGAGTATGGTTGCCCTTCACATTTAATTACAGGAGATGATTTCATTAATATCTACCATGCTTAATACACTCATTACATGTGACTGTTTGTGCATGAACAGAATTAATTGGTTTACCGTGAGTAATTAGAAGGCCCACTTCTCAATTACGTCTGCCAAATTAGGGCTGTTTATCTCAATTTACACAGCGTCCAACTCCAGTGCTTTGCTTTGTAGACGGAGAAAGAGGGGCAAGTCCGGAAAATCAAGTCTCGACACGGTGAAGATTTGGTGTCGCTGCTCGGACACTTCCCCAACAAACGGGAGCTGGAGGACTGGATCTACACAAAGTCCAAAGAGATAAACACCACCAGAGACAGGCTGGCCAAGCTCAAGTCAGTCAACTGTTATATGAAAAGCCTCTCTTACCTACCTCTGTTTTGATGTCGAACCCTTTGTTTTTTAGTGCCATTACTTTATACCAGGGGTCTCCAACCTGTAGCTCGCCACCTCCTTCCAAGTAGCTCCCCAAAGGTTTCAGACCTTTCCAAGAATCCTTAAATATTTCTATACGTTTTCCGTATGCCTACACCTTTTGTACAACTTAATTTTGCAAGTTAAGATGTATAACAGTTTACTTATCTAGTACAGAAGGCAACTCAAGGAGGAAAAAAAAACATTATTTGGGTTAAATACCCCAAAAATAATCCAAATCCATTCTACATCATCCTACAGTAACGACTACATTTATTTTGATCCGTCGCTTTCTGCTTTTTTTCCTAAAAGAGGAGCTCTCTGTGGGAAAAAGGTTGGAGACCTGTGCCCTATACAGATATATAGGTTAATCACTTTTATTGTACTGATGCCAATTACACACTTTCTGCTACTTTTAATTCCATGATGCCGTCCGCCGGAAGCTGTCAAAAACAAATTCAAAATTATTCATGTTTAATGTCAAAACTTGTTTACTTGTTTCAGTAAGGACTTGGCCTCGAGTGAGCAGAACAAGACCCACATTGGAGCTGAACTCCGTAAAAAGGAGCAGCAGTTGTCCAGCGACGAGGAGAAGTTTTTCAACATCTGCGGGAGTCAGGACCTGGAGTCAGACCTGAGCAAAGTGCAGGACGATCTGGAGAAGGTCTCGAAGCAAAGAGGTACCAGAACAAATCCATCCACAGCCACTTTGCTATTTCAGATTTCAACAATATACTCTGCACATTGTAGTGGCAGCACATGTTTCTATGGCAACATCACAATCCCCTTTCACAATTAGTTTTTTTTTTTTTCTCCCAATGCAGGTCTTTGCGTCAAACCTTTAATAACTCGGAGAACTTCAGTCTCGTTAGTGTCTTTTGGGAACTTTAGGAGTGTTTTTATCTCATCCATTGTGAGGTACCGGTAAATTAATAAATATAATCCTGGAACGAGTGGTTCATATCAACCAATTGAGTGTCTTTGGAGAATCCCTTGTTATAACATTGTAGAGATTCAATAATATACTGTAGAATTAATTCAAATGTTTTCTGACACTGTCGTCTGAATGAATGTGCAAATATCCTTTTTTTAAATTTAGTATTGGATAATGTGTCTCTTCAGACAAATGTAAAAGTTTTTAATTATATGATATTTACAAACATTTACCTCACCGTTTTTAATAACAAATTTTATCTCAAGCATATAGTGTTCCAAGTTGACCATAAAACCTTGAATTTCTCTGTGTTTTCTGTGTGTAGCCATGTTAGCTGGTGCCACAGCGGTGTACACACAGTTCATCAGTCAGTTGACCGAGGAGCGAGAGCCGTGCTGCCCCGTGTGCCAGCGGACTTTCCCCGCCGAGTCTGATCTGCAGGACGTGATCAGCGACATGCAGTCCAAACTACGGCTGGTCCCTGACAAACTGAAGAACACTGAGCAGGATCTGAAGAGGAAGGAGCGAAAGAAAGAGGAGATGATGTCCCTTCGACCTGTCCGGTACAAAACACAAGAGATACTCATGATGATTGTATTTTGGGTTTAGAAAATGTTGGCAGATTCAGAAGTTTATCAGGTGAAAATAGATGACGAGATGGCTGTGGAGAAAGTTTGACACATGATATTTTCCAGACCCACAGAAATATAATATTTTCCAAACCTGGAGCTACTCATACTTTAACACATTAACCAAAGAGAAAATATATTTGTCGTTTGACTATAAACATTGTTTGTCTGAAATGTGCAGTCTAGCCTAATTTCAATTACTCACACATTATTCCAGTAGATTCACGTTACTTTCAATAAGTAATTCAAATATCAAATGGTTGATTACTCCTTTTACACTGAATTGTGTAACTACATATTAAACACTTCACAGTGCATCACAGTATATTTTAGAAAGGTGCAAACCACACCTTTGTCCACTAGATGGTGACAAACACCCACAGATCTTGGCTGTTCAAAATATTGCAGTAACTAAAAGGGTATATCCCTACAGACTTTAAACTATTACAATGGTATTACACTTGATTAAACCAAGAGGATTTGGATTTGATGCATTTCAGGGGGAATTACATTTTGGAGATTGTGGATTTAGGACCCAAATAAAATCATGAATGATTTTACAGTTTATGTATTCTATTTAAAACGAGTAAAATACCTGTAAAAATACTGCTTTTTTGAGAGCATCAACAGAAACTGGGAATGTGTTGACACAATATAAAGTGTCAACAGTCATGGAAACCTGGAAAGGGCATGAATAGCTTCTACTTTCCGGCCCTTGATAGTTTTGGAATTTGATTGACTGAGTTTACAAGACTTTTTTAAAGCCAAAGATCTAAAAAGATCTCAGATTTGGTCACTATCGCAGATTTGACTTGGCTAAACCTGCCTGTTCTTGGGGAGATGTTAAACCAATCAGTTTTCCGTCTTACTTCCTCCAGAGAGTCCATAAGTCGTTTGAAGGAGAAAGAGCTGCCGGAGCTGAGAAACAGGCTCCAGGGAGTGAACCGTGACATCGAGAGGCTGAAGGAGGAGGTGGAGACTAAGGAGACCCAGCTGGGGATGCTCATGTCTGAGGAGGAGACTGCAAAGGCCTGTCTGCAGGACATCTCCCTCATGGACCGATACCTGGTACTGGCCTCGGACTGAATTGCACAAACATTCTGAAATATGGAGATATTGAGTAACCTGTGCTGGACGTAATATTCATTTCATAAATTTTCCCCACTGTGATAATCATACAACTTGAAGTGATCATTCAAGTTTTATTTAAAATATGATTTTGAAATATACATTAAATGGTATAGCATACTTTGTCTTTTTCTTTATTTTGAAATGTGCTTTTTTGATTGATTAGTCTGTCACGCCTTCATTATTAGATTTCTTCTTGTCAACTTAATTGTTTTGGGTTTTACCCTTCTAAGCAAACAATTGATATGATTTTTCCAAGTAGTTTGTTGTTTATTATTTAAGTGTTTGATACATTTGTCTTTCAATATTTGTTTTTATTACAGATGGACCTCAAAGAAGTTGAGAGGAAAATAGCTCAACAGGCAACAAAACTCCAGGGAGTGGATCTGACCAGGAGCATTCAGCAAGTCAGTCAGGAGAAACAGGAGACGCAGCATAAACTGGACACCAGTAAGACATTTTACTCAAAAGGGCCAATATACACGAGAGCTGGCGCTGTCACAGTCTCTACATCAATCACAGCCTTGATACGACTTGAGGAATGCTTTAAATCGGTTCTTTTAGCAACAGACTCGTAAAAAATCAAATCTGCAGTTTCAGCACTGTTCTAGCTAGTTTAGCAAGATTCATCACAGACAAATCTCTGTGAATAAATAAACAACGCCATAGGTCGGTCAAAGAGTCTACGCAGTTTAAATGTACACAGAAATGGAAAAAGTTTATTGTTCAACATGTCCCAAATGAGGTGGACGATCATGTCAAATGCTCTGGTTTATATATATATAGGGTCACAGCACTTATTAACTCTATTGTTTATATCTGCAGCCTCCAGTAAGATGGAGCTGAAGCGTAAACTGATCCAGGACCAGCAGGAGGACATCCAGCGGCTGAAGAGTGCAGTGAACGAGACTCGAGCCGAGAAGCTACAGCTGAGCAGCGACATGCAGCGGCAGCAGCAGCTTGAGGAGCAGTGTGTGGAGTTCAGCGCAGACATCAATGCTCTGAGCCGGGACATCACGGTACGTCTGTAGACATTTCAATCTATCCATAATCTGAAACTTACTATGTCTATCATTTCTCATGTGACCGCCATTCCCACAGGAGGCCAAGGAGCAGCTGTCTCCTCTGTCGGCTGCACTGGACAAACTGCAGCAGGAGAAGCAAGAGATTGTGGAGCGCAGGCGGAAAAAACAGGATGAGGGCCAAGAGAAAGTATTAGAAAAAACTTTTCAAAGATTTTCCAAGTTACTTATTTCTTATTAACGTGGTTTGCATTTGTTTTGTTTTTTTTTAGTTAAATTCCATTAAAGAGAGAGTGAAGGTGGTCAACATGTTGGAGCGGGAGATCAGCAAATACACTGAAGATGGAAAAGATGAATACAAAGAGGTTAAAGTTACATTAGAAAAAATTGACTTAACAATCCACTTGTCCTATTGGTTAGTGTTTATTGGGTTGAGTGGCTTTGGAGGATTTGACAAATTACAGAAGTGTGAACTATATGCGATACTTACGTCACACATACAGTGGGGCAAAAAAGTATTTAGTCAGCCACCAATTGTGCAAGTTCTCCCACTTAAAATAATGACAGAGGTCTGTAATTTTTATCATTGGTACACTTCAACTGTGAGAGACAGAAGGTGAAAAAAAAATCCAGGAATTCACATTGTAGGAGTTTAAGAATTAATTTGTAAATTATGGTGGAAAATAAGTATTTGGTCAATAAAAAAAATTCAACTCAATACTTTGTAACATAACCTTTGTTGGCAATAACAGAGATCAAACGATTACTGTAGGTCTTTACCAGGTTAGCACACACAGTAGCTGGTATTTTGGCCCATTCCTCCATGCAGATCTTCTCGAGAGCAGTGATGTTTTGTGGCTGTCGCCGAGCAACACGGACTTTAAACTCCCTCCACAGATTTTCAGTGGGGTTGAGGTCTGGAGACTGGCTAGGCCTCTCCAGGACTTTCAAATGCTTCTTACGGAGCCACTCCTTCGTTGCCCGAGCGGTGTGTTTGGGATCATTGTCTTGCTGGAAGACCCAGCCACGTTTCATCTTCAAAGCTCTCACTGATGGAAGGAGGTTTTGGCTCAAAATCTCACGATACATGGCCCCATTCATTCTTTCCTTAAGAATGAGTGACCAAATACTTATTTTCCACCATAATTTACAAATAAATTCTTTAAAAATCCTACAATGTGAATTTCTGGATTTGTTTTTTCACATTCTGTCTCAGTTGAACTGTACCTATGATGGAAATTACAGACCTTTGTCATTATTTTAAGTGGGAGAACTTGCACAAACAGTGGCTGACTAAATACTTTTTTGCCCCACTGTTTATCTGCGTTCATACATACATAAATACCTAATACATACACACCAATTTCCCCACTTTATATTTGTGAATATGTCTAATTCAAATCGTGCGATTTATGAGACATTGTTTATTGCAGCAAAAAGAATCTGAACTTCAGGAAACCAGCCAACAGCTCCATGAAGCGGACAAAAATAAGGAGAAAGTAAACAAAGACATTGGAAACATCCGTCAGGACATAGATACCCAAAAGGTATTTCTGCTTTTCTTTGTCCTAGTCCATATAGAATATTTATTCCTTGAGAGTCGTCAATAGACACTTGTTCTTCTGTGACCAGGTGCAGGAGCGCTGGCTGCAAGATAATCTCACCCTGCGAAAGCGAGTGGAGGAACTTAAAGAGGTAGAGGCCAAACGAGAGACTCTGCTCAAAGATATGGGCAACATGCAAGTTCTGCAGCTCAGGCAGTAAGACACCTGCCCTCGTTCTCTAATATCGAGAGGAGTAATGGGATTATGATGTGTGTGTTGTTGTTGTTTTAAGAGAGCGTCGTGAGCTGGAGCGAAAGCTTGAGGACCTGAAGAAAAACCGCAGTATCGCTGTTGGCCGTCAGAAAGGATTTGAGGAGGAAATACTTCACTACAGGTATTATCGGAATTTGTTTGTAAATGTAAGAATGCAGCGTTAGTTATTGGTTGCAACTTTTTATTGTATTCGCAAAACGGCAATAAATGTCATCTGCAAGCACGATTTTATATTTGTTGCTGGCTTACAACCATAGACTGTAAATATTAACAGATGTAGTGGCGCCTATCTCTGCCGTTGAAACTTATGTGTCATCACTTTTCCCTCCTGCTGTATTTTTTAAAATGGCAGCGAGTGACCCCTCCCGCAGGAAAATGTGAAAAAACGCATTTGCGCATGCGTTAGCCGGCACGAGCCCCATTCATTTAATGAGTGCATTCAAAAGTCCACAGCGTCAAAACTAGGCTGGTCCCACACAAAAAAAACTTAGCATTGAGCCAAGCGACAACTTTTGGACCAGGCTATAAAGCTGTTATCAAGAGGAAAAAAGTTGTTGTAAAAATACTGGTTACAGCAGGAGCAGAGAGATCCAGACTGCCCAGTGCACACACCTTACCCTTCCGAAGACTTTTACTGTCATTGGTGCAACAATATATTTTTCTAAACTTTCTGTTCTGGTCTAAAATAATAGGCAATTATTTGAATAAACAAAATTGTTATGCTATAATAAAATATGCATATTATAACATATCAATGTTTTGTCGCAGGAAAGAGTTGCGTGAGGACCAGTATGACAAGGCTGACGAGCGCTACAAGAACAAGATGATCGTGATGAGGACCACAGAGCTCGTCATCAAAGATCTGGACCTCTACTACAAAGCCCTCGATCAGTGAGTATTTACCACTAAATATATCAACATGTTGCGGAAACTTAGAGCTCTGAACACTACCGAAGACTCATGGTGGTTTTGTCTATTGCATATAGTGTATCTTTGATACTTGTGGATCATTAATGAACATTTGAATTGTCATGTAGAGATGACTTAGCAACCAAAGAGCCAATCAGGAGCAAGGCTGGTCCTTGCAAAGATTGTTTTCCTGGATTTGATCCCCAGGCCAGACAGTTTGGATAAGAAAAGAAATTCAGTTAAATATATCATATAAGAGCCAAACACAGCAATATTTGAGAAGTGAAATAAAGTTTATTTAATTTACAGAAATTGTGCAAGAATTACCATTAGCAGACCGCATTTCTGCTGACAAAACCTTTTGCCACATGGTTGACAGCATCCTGTCATCAGAAAAAAAAAAGAAAAAAAAGATTTTTTTAATAATCTGTTTGGTTTGAGTAGTCTCCAGTCGTCATCCATTTCTGCCAAACCAGTCCAGAGACGGTGAGGACCACCAAATAATCTGACTTTTGATTGGTTCTCTGAGCAGGTTCTAGATAAGATTTTTACATGTCACATTTGGCATAGATAGCCAACAGCAAACATGTTAAAGGTAAAAAATGTCTTCAATACTTCATCATAGACTTTACGTAGACCAAATCAGTATCTGCTCCTTCATGAGATGTGACCATAGACTGTATATATTAACGGACAGAGCCTATCTTCGTCGTTCTAACTAATGGGCCAAAAAATGTGCTCTACTGGAGCTATCCAAAATGGCCGTGAGTGGTCCCGCCCACATGATAATTGTGAAAAAACCCATCTGCGCATGCGTCAGCTGGCGAGAGCTCCATTCATTTGAACGAGAGACTTCAAAAATTCACAGCAAGTAAACTAGAGTGGAACGGAGCTTTGGGCCAAGAGCCAACTTTTGGACCATCCTGTAAAGACGTTTTCCAGAGGTCTGCCAATGCTATATGTTATTATATGTTATTAAATTATTCCCCCCCCCCCATTATACCCCCATCGGCCCGGGGTGGTCTTGCAAGCATGTCAGCGCACGTCATTTTGGCCACTTTTGAGCCGAAACCCACCCCCACTGGATGTGACGTACAATTACACAGAAAAACCCCATATCCTGAACAAAGGTTGGCAGCACAAAAAATTACACACTCACGACACCCTGATTTATTTGTCAACTGCTGATACAGACCGATAAAGGCTCTGGGAAAATAATAAACTGAAAAAGATGAAAGCTTTTGAGGCTAACCACAGATGTGAGAAGAACTTCCTCTTTGCGTTTCCTAATGTCGTGGCCCGTGTGCATTACGCACATAGACATTTTTAACCACAGGGTCAGAAGTTCTCTCTCGAGTGAATAAGGGCATACAGTATTTTGCATTTATTTTAAGAAAGTGTACAATTAGCATTTTGAATCAGTCTAAATAACACTGACACTGATATAACATTTATGTTTTTGGGCAGTAAGATTTGAACGTTATACATGAACACATCATGTGGCTGTGCATTTTCGTATCCAGATTATTTAATGTAACTTGTGCATGTTTTATGATTTAACCAAAAGCCCCAGTAGTTTGTAGATAGAGTGTAGACACAGGTGCTGCCATATATGGTCAAGAGGAAGTCTTTCCTTTGGTGGCACTGTCACTGTCTGTGGCTTCATGCCACACTAAGAGAAAGATTGAATATTTCATGTAACTTTAATGACCATCTCAACATGTATCAACAAATGTCAACCGTAAAAGCAAATAAACAAACAATGACCTTAAATAAACAGTACTTAAAGACAAGATTCCACATGGTAATTGCTATCTCTGTGCGTTATTTCTGTGCGTGTCAGGTTTAGGTTTATTGTCATTAATATATACATTTCTGCTACCTTTCTTCTAAATTAGCTGCCGAAAGTTATTATTTATCTTTCACAAAGGCAAGGGCTATTCAACATAAGAGCACAATGTCTGTTCATTGATGGGTTTATTTATTTTAAACCTGCACAGCTCAATAAAAAATAAAAAAACTTTACAGACAGATAAGTACATGGTTGGATGAAGCAGACACATGTACGAGGCTGTCACTGATAATCATTTTCGCTCATTGTATGGATCCTGTATATAACTCCATGACAATGCTTGTGACTTTACCACATGGTTTGGAAATGGATCCACAGCCCAGAGGCTGTCGTTGGCAGAGTCTCAAAAGACTGATAAGACTCTGCTGAAACCTTTGGTGAAGCTGTTATCAGACCTGTGTGACTCTAAACCACTGGGTTTCTGTCTAATTTTCTCTGTAATAAGTGATAACTGAACTATTTCTTGGTATTAACACTGAGCAGCACTTAATCTGTCTGATCAACAGCACAGTCACAGATTAGTCAGCATCTGGTTTAGTGTTGATCACAATTATTCAAAAATGTTTCATATCAAAGTGCTTCATTGTGCACCGCGCACATTTGGAAGGCATCATGATTTTGACAAAACATTAACAAATTTATGAAACAAAATGTTTCTAAATTGTTCCTAAATTTTTGAATTGGTAGTTTGAAAGTAAATGTTTATTTTAGTTCATACCTTGCACTCTTAAAGCACTGTACAGGCTTGAAGTCTTAAGGTGCGTTCACACCGCGGACGCTGGAACGCTGACGCCTCACCCAGCAGATTCTCTAGTTTTCAGACGCAGGGGTCTTCACACCAGAAGTCCTGGGCTGCCGTGGCGCCCGCCGGAAGTGGCGGAAGTAGAGGGCGGACTTTGATGCTAACGAACTTAAGCTAGCGGCTTTTTGTTTAAAGTTTTTCTCCAATAATGCAGCTCTGCAGCGTCTCTGTGTCCAGAGACCTTCCAGAGACTTTATATAACAGCAGTATGTGTTCACGGAGGTGCGCCATACGTTTCATTTATTATTAAACTGTACTTCTGCATCGGTGAACACGCTTGAATCTGTTGTATACAGTCACAGGAACATGAGAACGCATATGTTCACAAGCACAGAGTCCCCATGTCAACCCTGGTTTAGTCCTGGCGTAGCTCTTGTTTTAGCTGTTTACGAGTATTTTCAGACCGCTAATGTCTCAGTGACCATTTTGCGGCTCTCTGATTGGTCGCTGCACGAGCGTCCAAGGAAACGCTCAGCTATATTTATTTCCTGCGTGCGTCAACGCTTCTGCCGCTCCTTTATGGTGCAGTCTGTGCGTCTCTACCACGCAGTCCATGCGTGCATCCCAAGACGCACATGCAGTTCCACGCTCGAACGCGCGCCACCATTGACTTTGCATTGAAAGCTGACGCAATGCATGATCCGGTCTGAACTCGGCTTTACAAAGCTCACTATTTTGCTTCTGTCACAACGGAACGCGGTACGAGTCTCTGACCACCATCATTCACCCATTCAGCCAATCTCTCCATTCTATACTGAGGGTGGGCCAAACAGGGGCACCCGAAGGAAACCCACTACACACAGTGCAACACATGAAAACTTGAGCAACCCTGCTACCTGTGAGCGGGGTTGCTCAATCATTGATTGAAAGTGTACCACAAGAATAAGATCATTTTGAAAATATCATTACAAATTTGACAGATGGCTTTTTGGCTGTGTTGTGTTGAACCTTTCTTTCTGTTTTTCTCAGGACGATTATGAAGTTTCACAGCATGAAAATGGACGAGATCAATAAGATCATCCGGGATCTGTGGCGCAGCACATACAGGGGCCAAGGTCTGTTTTCGCAAATGTCCACGTGTCAAGACGGAATAAGTTTATTCTGTGTGTTTGTGCTCAGATATCGAGTATGTGGAGATCCGCTCTGACGTGGACGAGAACTCGTCTGCTGGGGTCAAGCGCAGGGTTTACAACTACAGAGTGGTGATGGTCAAAGGAGACACCGCTTTGGACATGAGGGGGCGCTGCAGTGCAGGGCAGAAGGTACACTTGAGAATGGTTGGTTTAAGTTAAACTTGGTATCTCATGGGAAATATATGATATACTTAAATAAATCTATACTTTCACGTTGAAGGACGTTTTCACAGAAATCTTGTATTAAACAATTATTTTCATTATACAATCTCAGAAGAGATCTAGCCTAGATCAAGGGTGACAAACATGTGGGCCTCATGCAGCCTTTCAAACTTTGGTAAGAGATTTATGTGTTGCCATGGAGATGCTAGACACTGCAAAACAAACACATTGTTTATTTTATCAATCAATCAATCAACCTTTATTTGTAGAGCACTTTTCCTACACAAGGTAACCTTGTGATTCATAGTCTTTATCACATGAGGCTTAAAGACCTTATGCAGGGTTTGATTGATTTAGAAATACAGTTCTAATACCATTTTTTATTAGAAGAGAACTACTAAAGGTTTCAAAATCAATTGTTTTTTTTTTTGTCTGATCCCCCAAATTGAGAAAAGCCCATAGCAACCCCCTTAGAAACGAAAAAACTTCACAGCCTCTTCTCCCTTGGTGACGTCAGAGCGGGTGCGTTTCAACCGGCTGTAAGTGGTTTACAATTTGCTATTTGGTCTTTTTTCGCGGATATTCAAGATGACAAGGCGGTGTACAGCGAATATGAGATCATAACCACTGGACTCTCACAGCGCCAACTAGGAAATACACACTATTTCCTAGTTGGCGCTGTGAGAGTCCAGTGGTTATGAGAATGTGCTAGCATTCCAGCAACTCTGGTTCAAATCCCACCTAAGTCACATTTTCACTCTCAAAACGGCAATATATGTGTAATGAGCTATTGACACCTGTAGAATGCAGTATTGTGTTGGACATCAGTGGAGAGAAGAGAGGATGGGCGAGTATCTGTGGCATAGATCCATGGCTTTGATCCATTTCAATGCATGGGCGTTACCCGCTATGACGTCACACACAGGTTAGAGCATAGACAACTTAAATTAATTAAAAACACATTCTTTTTATAAAATATTGGATTTTTTTGCCGGAATCTATTTCAGATCGACATTAATTGATTAACTGTCATGCAATTTTGATATCCACAATTAAAAAAAGAAAAAACCCTGCATAAAGTCTTTAAATCATAAACATAAAAAACTTGCATTAAAATCACACATTAAAATCCCGCATGACATTAAAAAAAACATTAAGATCATGCAAGGTATTGAAAACATACAACATTAAAATCACATTATTAGTAAATTTTTTACATGATAAATAACTTTTTCAACCGTCAGTTGTATGCACAGACAAAAATAACTGTCTTCAACCTGGATTTGAACACACATTTTCAGGAAGACTGTTCCAGATTATAGCTTCATCAATCTGAAATGCAATAAAGATAAAAACTCTCTTTCATAAGGAGCTTTTGCTGTGTGCAGGTGCTGGCGTCGCTGATCATCCGTCTGGCTCTGGCTGAGACTTTCTGTCTGAACTGTGGCATTTTGGCTCTGGATGAACCCACCACAAACCTGGATCGAGAAAACATCGAGTCTCTGGCCCATGCCCTTGTCGAGTCTGTACAATTCTTATGTTTTATACATTATTATTTTGGGTGTGTAAATGTCATTCAAATGGGTGCTGATTAGAGGTTTTTTATGAACATATTCACTTGGATAAATACATAATCCTATTTTTTTCATATTTATTTAGGCCTATGTGCTTGATTTAATATTAAAGAACATTGACAAGCAGATTAAACGCTGAGGACTAATATCTGCCTAACTAATCTGCTTCTAATATTGCATTGAGACAGAGAAATGTGTGTTTTTTTTTTGTTTTTTTTTTTATATTAACAGATAATGTTCTGCTCCTGGTGAATGTTTGTGGGGCTTTCCAAAACTACCAACTTACACTTGTGACATATCTAGTAACTCGCCCTCAGAACTACGTATGTGAGACGTTTGAGCCGTGTGGAAAAATACAGAAAATAGCTTCAGTTCATGTTTTAATAACTAAAACTGGGTGATATGGAGTTAAATAAGGGTTTTGATTTAACAATATTCAGGAAATATGTCAATCAGATAAAAATAAAGTTGGCAATATATATTTTCCAGTTTCATTTAACCTTGTGCTACCCATCGGTCAAAATGATGTGCCACAGAGGATCAAAAGTAGAAGAAAAAATAGGGTCTAAAAGGACTGGCCATGTTAGGAAAAATCATCCAAATTTAGCTCTAAAAATATATATTAATGGTATTTTTTTTTTTCATGTGGCGGGTCAATTTTACCTGAGGATAGCACAATAATTGAATTGTCTTTTTTTGATTCATTGACACACTATGTCATGGACTAATATTTCAGAGTTGAGCCGTTATGACTCCCATCTCGACAAAGAAGGGAGTTAAAATGGGTTAAAAACTTTATTTCTTCATGTGTAATTCATTGCGTCACTTTGTAATGAACATACTTTATTTCTTCTTTTGCCTCCACATTCAGAATCATCAAGAGCCGATCTCGTCAGCGAAACTTCCAGCTGCTGATCATCACTCACGACGAGGACTTTGTGGAGCTGTTGGGACGCTCCAGCTACATCGAGAATTTCTACAGAATCCGCAAAAACCAGGACCAAAACTCCGAAATCACCAAGTGCAGCATCTCTTCACTCTCCTCTTACCTGCACTGAACACACTACAACACTGACATAATCGCGGCTATTGACGAGACAAAATTCTGATTCATGCTTTTTAGTATAAGAGCAGTGGGGAGGAAACATATACACTGCAAAAGGTACTAAATGCTTGAATTTGCTTTACTTGTGTTTTTATCTTAACATTTTGACTGTCTTAAAACAAGATTTGCCAATGGGACAAGCAAAAATGCCTTGTTTTAAAAAAGAAAATTCAAGAAATGTCCTTCTTGGAATGAAAAATAAATTACAACAGCACTTGAAATAAGTCTAAAAGGCAAATTTTAAGACAGTCGGAATATACTAAAATTAAGATAAAAACCCTGATTGAAACATTTAACACCTTATATTGTGTCATTTTTTGCACTGTAGATTTGGTCCATGTCTAAACTGAAAATGACCAGTATTTGTCACAATAATTCTATTCATACAAAAACAACACAAAACATTTTTCATACACAAAAAAAATGCAACGTTTTAAGTCCGTTTTCTTCTTCCTTTTGCAACCATACGTACACATTTGTTGTTTGTTAAAATGAAAATAATACTGTGAAAAAATCTTGACTTAAACAGTAACAGAAAGAGGGGGAAAAAAAGTGGCAATATTCAAGTATATTCAGATGTATTCAGTTCAAAATTGTTTAATAAATAATTTGTTTAATATAATGGTGTGAAAAAATCTGTTATTTTGCTTTCAGGCAAACGCATGTCACACACAAGACCACATTTTATCACAGCGATCAATTGGTTTGTTGGGTGGAAAAAAAACACTTGAAAGTCAAAATGTGTGGGGGAGTTTCTGCTATATAAATCAGGGTTGTCTGACTGCTGAGCACAAGTTTCATTTTGTACCAACATCTGACCGATCAGCTTTTGAAAATGAAGGCGTGTTTGTGTCTGCTGGTGTGCGTGGCGGCCGCTGTGTGGGTTCGCCAGTCCCTCGCTGCTCCCCGTCGCTCCTCGCCGTTCAATCTTAAAACTATTCTTGACAAAATCGATAATTACGACCATGTGCGCAGCAAGGTAAGTCTTGCCAATACACTGCATGTTAGACACATTGATAAATGCGTTTCATTCCTCCTATTTTTGTCGTTTTAGGGGAAGTGGTTGGCCAGTGTTCGCAACTTTACCGAAGGACATGGGAGATGCGGGGTGAGTGTTCTGTTCTTGCTGATTCATTATGTTATGTTGCTGATTTGTGAATCTTTGTGGGAAAATTGCGACGTTATTTAAAACACTTGGACCCATACGACACACATGTAAAGTAAATTGTCGACCAATGGACTAGAAATACAAAGCTAAAATCATTAAAAAAATCAATCAACATTTATCTTATTCTATTGACAGATGATTTTACTTTCAGTTCAATTTCTTTGTTGCCTACCATAGCTTCATATGTACCTTATTTCTGCTATATTAAGCATTTTAGCCAAAAAACTAAAATTCTTTCAATGGTACAGTAGCATTTACAAACCAGACGACAAAGTCAAGTTCTGAGTTAGAATGAATAAGTTGTTGGGATAAACTTTTGGCCGAGACCAACGTATTGCACACAACTGGGATCATAAGATCAAGGTCATCATTTTATGAGGACAGTAGAGGGACAAATACTGTAAAACTACCCTTTTAGCACAATGACAATACCTTAAACCCTAGTAATATTCTTGGTCAACCAAAAATATGTCCCATCCATCTATTTATTTGACTAGAAAGGCCTTAAAACTATTCCCCCACCTGTCTCCAAATTCTTACATTGCGACAACAGCACTGGAGGTCTTGCAACCATAGACTGTAAATATTAACATATATATATATATATATATATATATATATATATTAATATTAACTTGCAATACAATTTCTGACAAAAGGCACAAGAGATTTGAGGCTGCTTCTTGGATTAGGAAAAATACAAATGTACTAAATCCTTAGCACCCCCACAAAGCTTTATCATTCTCTTTTTTTTGCAATGATGTTTATTTAGTTTTCCAACACACAAACATTTCACGGATTAAGTACACACTCAACAAAATACAACAATAGACAATAATCAATATGTTACAGCTTCCACGTTTTTCAACTTTAACAGAGAAACTATTTTCTTAAATTTCTCCCCTCTCCTCATGCCTACACCTCATCATCCGTCTATTTATCGTACATCTTGCTGCTGTTGTTCTGTTTCCAATGGTGTCTGCTAGGCTAATGCTGCTAGGCTAATGCTGCTAGGCTAATGCTGCTAGGCTAATGCTGCTAGGCTAATGCTGCTTGGCTAATGCTGCTGGATTTTAGAAATGCTGGTTGTTTTGGTGCTTTCTGCTGGCGTCAGGGCCGGCTCTAGCTTTAGCCAATCAGCGCCGGGTTAACCTCAAGCCCCACCCAGTAGCTGTTCAGGGCCGAACGGAGTACCTATAGCATGGAGGAGGTACTCCGTTGGGCCCCGTAAAAGTGGGGAAGGTTCCTGCAGTGGAGACGCGCACCAACAGGGCTGGCCGTTGTATTGACTCGAGTATTGATGTTACAAAACTGTTGCTTTGGACGCCCCTGGTCTACACCTCTAAAATTCTCTTTATTCATTTCCAGGATAGCTTCTTCTGTGCGGTCCATGGCATCTTTCACAAACACAGCAACGCCACAAATGAAAAACAAGACAGGGTTATTTTGGCTAATCTAGAAAATTACATAAAGCAGCAGGACGTAAGTAAAGCTTCCATCACTTTCATGAAGGACAATTACCAAATGCACACTTCTCTAAATGTTTGTGTTTCTTGTTTCTAGCTGAACTGCACAAGTATCCTGCCAAGTCCTCTGAATACTACGGTGTGGTATCAAACAGAGATATTTCTGGACGATGTCAAGATGTGTATCAATTGCCGCAATTTGAATAATACCACAACAAGCTGTTAATAACCTATACAACCTACAACAGCATAACAATGTTTACTTTTGCTTTTTATTTATTACAATTATTTAACGTCATGTATTTATTTTTTTATTTTTCATAATAAATAATTTTGCATTATATCCTAAGATTTGCTTTTATTATTAGTCTCTTTGTTAACGTTACAAATTGTAAGATTGATAATTGAAAACTTTTTCATTTAGGGTCCATTTTCAGTTTGCCTGAAATGATCCAATATGTAGCATTTCATTGTTCTTCTTTCTCTTTCATACCTCAGGTGGAGTGAGAAGCACACACACACAAAATAAGTTAATATCAAGTTTAACACACCCCCATCCTTGTTAAATAAAATCACAAAACTGCAGTTGTCTCAGAGGACTTTACAAAGTTGTTTATTCAACAACAGGTCAGAGAATCAAGTAGTGCAATAATAACAAACACAAGAAAAATAAGCTTTGAGCTATGCCTGGGCTTCTCCAGCAGAGACGGGGTACAGTGTCAGAGTTGATAAGATGGAGAAATGTACTGGACAATCACAGGAGAAAAGCAGCTGAAGTCAACACAACACTTCACAAACACTATCTCCATCCTTCAAAGAAATATCAAAGCACTTACATTTTCCACAGTAAATTAATCTATTTGATCATTGGACATTTATACAATAACCAACTGTTGGTTTTTAACACTTGTGATTTCACAGCGGATGCAAATTATACTGGAAATCAGATTTGGGGACTTGTGATGAAGCGAAATGATAATGGTTATATTATATCAATCAGTGGCAAAAAACAAAAACAAATTCCTGTACATATACAGGCATGTCAGTGTAGTAAGGGGTTTTAATCTTAAAATGGTACTTGATAAAATTGAAAAATACAAACGTGTAGTTCTGTGATTTGAAAGACACTGGGGTTAATCATTCCAGAAAAGCCCATGTGGCCGCAGATTTAAATTCCAAACAGGCCAGAGCACATCAGACTCCACTCTTGTCATCAAGTGAGCCCAGTCTGGTCTTCCTCATATAAACACTTGGGGAAATGAGTGGTGGCTGTTGCTGCTTTGGAATGAAAGCACAGCCCTTTGACAGCTCTGGACCAAGATTAAGGGTGTATTCAGACCTGCACTTTTGGTCCACTTTAAACAGACCAGGATTCATTTGGAACTCTGATCTGGACCTTTTTATGCAGGTGGGAATACACACAACGAATCCTGGTCCGGACCAAAGAACCGGACCGAGACCCACTTATTTAGGTAGTCTCGGTCCGCTTCCAAACAAACTCTGGTCCGAGTCGATTCAAGTCTGAATACAACCAGTGTCGATCCGACACAACTCCAAGATACGTGCGCATTTTTTGGGCTTAACAAGCCGTAGACAGGAACTGTGAGGAATTCGGGCGTTCCGCTCTCCCAAAATTCCATCCGATGGGCGGGGGAGCAACTGAATTTTGCGTTGCATTATGGGTAACACTTGCCTTCGCAACTTCCGGTTCTCTCTGCCCGGCGCATTTTCTCTAAATGGTTGAGCGTTTTCGTCATTTTCTGTATGCAAATACATTCCCGTCTCTAACTAGTGGCATATCGCGCAAATCATCCGTCCAATTCACATTCTTCCCTCTTAGCTGAACTTCATTCTCATTGTTACCATCTGTCACTCGCACACACAGCCGTTTTCGTTCACTCTGCTCGCTGTCATCTTCTTCTAAATCTTCATAAACACCATCCGCTCGTTGAACTAGCAACAACAATTCCTCCTTTCGTTTTCCCACACTGCAAATACCCTTTCGCTTCAACCTTTCACGCAATTCAGGCACTGTCAATTGTTTGTTGTTTTCGTGAGCCATATTCGCCATTGTATGAAATCAACCGGAAGTGAACTGGGCAACAAACGGTGTCATTTTTTGATCACAGCGCCGCTCAGTGGATGAAATTTTGGGAGAGCAGAACGCCCGAATTAGCCATGCGTCACAACTGCTAACGCTACACAACAACAATGAGCCGTGGGCAGACCTGGAGCAACGAGGAGACACTGCCTCCTTGAAAATTGGGCAGAGGCACATATAACCCAACTTCTGGAAAAGACACACAAAAATGCGGTCTTGTTCAACATTTTTAGTGAGAAAATGAACGCTGATGCCTCGCTCACCAGACGCACATTCTCTAATCCCGTGTGGAATGGACAGCAACAAACAACCATATATATTTTTTACGAGCAAGTACATTTTTATAATCAATAGCTAAATATACACATACAACATAGCTATGTTTATTCACTCTATAATCAAGTTCAAAGCAATCATAGCCACCTAGTTTTTGTTGGCTCAAAGTTGAATACTTGTGTAAACCCTATTTTCGGTTGCACTAGTCTCCATGGCCTCACACTAAAGTACATCTGTGACACGTTCGTGCCATATGAACCAACCCGGACTCTGAGGAGCACAGGGACTGGCCTTCTGCTGGGACTCTGCCAAACATGAGGAGACAGCCTTTCTAATGCCCTAATCTGAAACCGTAAAGATGAACAGGAGGCTTCATCCCTGACATTGTTTAAGTCCAGGCTGAAAACGGCATCACTAAGTTTTATATATTGAGTATCGTTATGATTTTGATTGTTTCACCTCATATGTCTTATATTGTGTGTTAATGTGTTTGATTCTACGTGACTGACATTGAGAATACAAGACACACAATTGTCTCACTTCAATATAACCCTTGTTTGTGGTCATAAACTTATCAACACTGGCAAGTATTGGCACTTTTGCAATGCACTGTATATATGGCCTATGTCTGTAAATCCTTTAGGCCCTTTCGTTTCTCTCTGGGACGTCCCATGAAATTCCCCATCGCGCGCTCGGGCTGCTCCGTTCCTTTTTTCGCGGTAACACATTTCACCACTCTTTTCCCGCCAGCCCAGGACAATGTAGCTGTCAGGGGGTGACTTGATGCGATGTGAGAGCTCAGCAGAGGCCTGTAATTCTCTGCGCCGCGGCTGCTGCTGGTGCGTCACGGAGCTGAACTGAACCGTGAGCGCCTCATGACTAAATCAAGAGAATCACTCGACTTTTCACCACCGCTTTTTATAGAACTGTAATGGTATTCCCAATACTGTGCCTAGGCTTCACTCCTGCGCGTCCGCTTGTCCGTTCAGTATGAAGGTCGCGCTTGGATAGTCTGCACTGTTGGATAGTCTGCACTGTTGGATAGTCTGCACTGTTGGATAAAAGTTGCCAAATTAAGCTGAGATGAGCTTGATAGTTCTGGTCTGGAGGGTGAAGATAGATTGTATTTGAATCTATGTCTAAAACTTTAAAATCCTTAAAATTTCACCTGTTCTGTATTGCTTTGGGCTGAAATCTGGGTAGTTGTTGCCACGTATGCAAGTTGGTCTCTATTGTGACCAACTATTGTGTACTCTATTTTTCCCACTCTCCTTGTAGGAAAATGCAGGAATTCTGAACTTCTGGAATCGGAGGCAACTGGTTAATAAGTGCTTAGATTATTTATTGGTTATTTATTCTGTCTTGTTTTGTCCAGCACTTTGTCCAGCACTTGCCTGATTACCTCAGTCATGGTAATATCCACAGGTTTTAACAGAAGGGAGCACATCACCCCTGTATTAGCATCCCTCCACTGGCTCCCTGTGCGTTTTAGAATTGATTTTATCATTTATTGATCACTATTAAATCTTTAGTTCTGCATCAAGCTTTATCTTTGAACTTCTATCCCCATGTGTGATCCAGCCTTATTCAGTTTGCACTTCTCGGCTTTGAAACTACCTGTTAAAAGTGGGTTTAAGAAGTCGCCTTATTTCTTTTATTGAATTTGTGTTTTACAAGTTGTGTTTCATTGCATGGCCTCCGTCTGCTTTATTCCTGTATGTGTCTCCATTACGTATTCCATAAAAAAATTGTTTTATGGACTTTTTTATGCTGACTGCAGTATTTTGTTGACGTTTTGAAGTGCTGATCAAGATTTCTTCCTTCTCCCTCAGCATTTTTAGTTTTTTTTTTTTTTTTAGATGAAGATTCAGTGATCCTTTTATTTGTCCCACAGTGGGGAAATTTCAGTGTTGCATCACCGGTTACAGTACAGTAGGAACGAGAAGCACACAACACATAAGACAAATGGACTATAACAAAACAATAAAATCTCTAACTTCAGCATTAAACAAAACAGGCTGTCTTTGAAACATATTAGCTCCACATTTTATATTCTTAAATAACTTATTGACTCACTACTACTTCCAACTTGATGTCTTTATCCAGCACAGAATGCAGCCCTTTTTGCTTGCTGTTACTTCCTCCATTGTTTCTCCTGGTGGATTCGCCTGAGGGGTGTCTGCGGGGCCTGGGACCGCTGGGAGCAGAGAGGAGGGACGGGCTGAGGGGGGTGGGCTGTCGACGCAGCAGTGGGACGTCCTCCAGGGGCTCCGCTCGGTCCCAGCATGGCTTTGTAATGTCTCGCTTCAAAGGCATCAAAACCATGAGAGGGGCCACAAGATGAGATACTATGCAGTCACTATTGTTCCACCGGATCATGCAGCATGTATAAGATGAGGGCGCTTTGTTTTACGAGCATTGGTTATGTGAAATAAACTCTCAAAAATGTAATCTTTGAAACGAAAGTAACACATTAAAAAAGAGGTATTACACAGTAAACATGATAATGAGACGATGTACTTTGTTGTCGTGTTTCAGAATGTTTAATTTATTCAGTAGAAAACAAATGGTGTAACAAGTATCAAGGGTAAATGCATACATAATGCTGCCCTATCGCTATTCTACCACCAGAGGGAGATGTAGAATTTGTTTTGTTTAGTCCAAATTTGAAAATTACCAGTTGCAACCACAAACCCAGTTTGTTTGTATGGATGTGTTTCTGGGGGATCAATAACACAAGTTGACAGCCAAAAAATGGTCAGGGGTTTCTCAACTGATTTGAGATACAGCCGTAGTGTTACGGATTATGTACGTCTACGTTATTATGAATTCTGCTGATCAAATTTGATGGAGTAAATAAAAACTGAATGACTTTGGATACGTTGACTTTTATTTCTTGAGGAAAACGAAAAAAACGTCAAGGGTTTCTCAGCTGATGATCCGCAGAAATTTGTTTTTTACGCAAAATTGATGTGAAAATTTTTTTTTTTGTGATAAATTTTTTATTCAATTATGACAATGTATTTGACAATGTATTCACATTTTGCACTGACTAGCATGCGTCACACTTTTTCAAGCTCAAAATAATAAATTGATAACTAAATAAATGAATAATGATTATAATAACAGAATAGTAAATTGAATGAAAAATAAAATAATAATAATACAAATAAAATGAAATAAAAGGTTCAAGACATCTAAAACAAAATTTGTAATTAAAGAATAAAATAAAAATAAAAATACAATAAACAATAACCCTGTCCAGGTTTATATACAAAGACTTAAAAAAAATATTTCTGTAGCAAAAAATCCTGACCTGATTGAGCAAAATTTTTGGACTCAGAGCATCAAAATTAGTCTAATTCAGCTGGAAAACCCTGGCCTATTTTCAAAAAATATTTTTTTGTTACCCAGTGTAATCTTCCTTGTGATTGTAAAGAATGTATTTTAACTCAAGCCATTGTTTGGGAAATGATGGGCCATGTTTAAGGAGTTTTCTGAATGTGATTTACTTTGAGGGATGGGATAGTGGTACAATGACATACTTTTACATGTTTGCATAAGAAGTTCCTTAAATTAAAGTAGATCGATCAAAGGATAACTCCTGGTCTGTTTTGTGTCAGGGAACAATGTTGTAAAACGGCTAAAAGCTTAAAAAGATGGGTTTTGCATGGTGTCATCTACAGTCCGGATCATAATAGATTATTACCTTTTGAAAAACGTTTCAGCAATGAGGATGCGGGGGTCATCTTGATGGTATTGCTTTGGATTATGGATCCATTTTCTGTCAGATACAAAGAGACCCTTGTTGGACTTAAGAATGATATTTCTACTCTAGTACAAGCTTCAACATTACCTTGAAAAATCCATTTGGAGGTGGTTGTTTGATGAATGGAATGCCACAAATATTCAATGTTAAATAACGTATCTGATCACATTGTGACACACCCTGGTGGTTGCTGGTTTGTTTGTTTTTTTTCTTTTATGCACAGGAAATGAAAAGGAGTGTGTCATGACAATTTCACTTTGTTTGCCAGTTTGAGGAAAGGAAAATAAAGAACTAACACCTTGTCGTCTTGGCCTAAAAACTCAAGCATACGAACACCCACCCACACACACACATACACTACCGTTCGAAAGTTTGGGGTCACCCAAGTGTTTTCCATGAAAAGTCACACTTATTCACCACCATACGTTGTGAAATGAATAGAAAATAGAATCAAGACATTGACAAGGTTAGAAATAATGATTTGTATTTGAAATAAGATTTTTTTTACATCCAACTTTCCTTTTGTCAAAGTTTTGTCAGCTAGAATAGTCATTTACCACATAAGCAATGTATAGAGTGTATTTCTTTACATGATGTCTTATTTCTGGTTGTTATCTATAATAATGAAGAAATGTCATGGTGCAGTTAAAGGAGCAATATGTAAAAATCTGGCCAAAAGTGGTATTGCAACTTTGCCCACTCTCCCTGACAGATATGCAGAAGAATCCAGCTGTTACCATAATGGCTGAATATACAAGGTTTTTTTTAACAACAAATCTATAACCAACACCTTTATCACAAAGGCCTCAATAGAAAATCCTTGTTTTTTTCTTGTTTTGTTTTTAATTTGAGAATCATAAACAAGACCCTTTTAGTTCTGCGGTCACATGTTTCTTTACCTGTGCGATTAGCTTGATGTGATGAGTTCTGGCAACCCTGATCACGGACTTTCATATTGGTAAAACAGTAGACATCGAAATGAAAACAATAACAAGATTTAGGGGCTGTAAAACTAATTTTGAAATTCAAATATCTCTGAACTGCTGTTATCAGTTAAAAAAAAGTATTCAAAAAGACTATGGTGTACTAATGCATTTTTGACATATTAGGGCCATTTACTGACGACTTAACTTGAAAATCTTATATATTGCTACTTTAATGCTGACAGTACATTTGTATTTGTACACCCCCTTGTTTTTGCCAACCACATGTAACCACATAAATACACACACGGTACACATTCAGTGTTGGGCACGTTACTTTGAAAAAGTAATTAGTTATAGTTACTAGTTATTTCTCCCAAAAAGTAACTGAGTTACTAACGGAGTTACTCCACTATAAAAGTAACTAGTTACCTGTAAAAGTAACTATTGCGTTACTTTTTTGTTTTGTTCTGGAACATAATGTGCACTCGACGTGCACATTTTTACCTTTAACCTCAGTGAGTTTGAAATAGTGCCAATATTTCCATCTGTAAAAGGCTGTTTTGCTGCTGGAGTCCTCCTCACTCTTCATCTCTCTCTGTGCTGTAAGCACTAAACACCAACACCCGCCACTGTGAATGTGGAAACACCGGTAAAGCACTGACTTCAGCCCAATCAGATGAACATATACATCATATAAATCAAGTGGACCAAGAGAGCGGCTTATTCACAGTTTGTTTGGCTACAGCAAAATATGTTTCATGCCCGCATTGTTCATACAAAACGCAAAACTATGAGTTATGGGTCTTACCTTATAAATGACTTGGCCGCATGAATGAATGGCCACTTCGGGTCAGGCCAGTACCATGTTTAAGTCCAGATAATAGTTTGAGCGTAGATATGTATTTGAGCGCAATTAAGACCCATATTTGTTTCAAAAACAATTTATCCTCTCAATTGTAGACTGTAGATTGTAAAAAAAAAAATGTTTAACATCAGCCAATAATTGCTGAGAGGTGTTCTCATCCTCCATTCTCTAATGACAATAGTCCTGAAGGAAAAAAGTTGTGCGACTTTATAAACCAGATCCTAAATATGTTCTGTCTGAAAAAACTGACCGAATTGAATGAACTGAATCAACAGCCATTGAATGAATAAACAACCACGCCATGATGCACAGTAGATTGTAAAAAAATATATATGTTTAACATCAGCCAATAATTCAGGTGTTCTCATCCTCCCTTCTCTCATGACAATAGTCCTATCATGAAGGAAAAAAGTGAATTGTGCGACTTCAGTAACGCGCAGTAACGTTATACTTACAGTAAAAGTAATTAGATTACTCGTTACTGAAAAAAGGTACCCCGTTATTCCCATCACTGTACACATTATATATGCTCTAACTGTTTTGCTGACGGTACATCCCTGGAATAATTCAGTAGAGTTTCAAAGAGCCAAGCTGCAGCCGCTCCTGTGTCTCCTCTGGGTGCAGCCGCTGTCACCCATGTTTACCTTCAGACTGACGCCAGGGCGACTCTGACCTCACATTGATGTGATCTAGACAGAAAAGGAAAAAAAAAAATCAAACCAACTTGAAAGACAGCAGGAAGTTTGGTGCTTCTGACCTGGACTTCACATGGTTTAAAACTGTACAGCAGGGGTGTCCACACTTTTTCGTTAGAGTACTAGTGAACTTTAGTTCACTAGTGCTTGTCCAGGGGCCGACAATTAATAGTTACCTAATGTAACTTAAGTTCTACGAATAGGTGCGTAGTCCCTTAGGACTTCGCTAGTGGGATATCACTCGTGACCCCCAGGTCACACGCCAGAGAGATCAAAATAATTTGCTCCAATCACCAGCCACCGTCCTCTATAAATGCCCCTGCACAAGGCCGCACCCCCTCTTGAACTCTGCCAAGCCGGGCTGGCCTGATGGGCTCGTAGCTAAGGGACTATGCACCTATTCGTAGAACTTAAGTTACATTAGGTAACTATTAATTCTACGTCATGGTGCTATGTCCCTTAGGACTTCGCTAGTGGGACACAACGCGGAGGCCGTAGGAACATGTACTCCCAGCAGGCCAGCGAAGGGTGATTGGAGCTCCGCCCGAGCAAGACCCTCACACAGTGAGAGGACTCAGGGCAGAAAAAACAATGCGTGTTACAGGGCCACTCCTACCAAGGATACCCCCACGTAACACAGACCGTAGGTCATCCGTAGCCACAGGACGCCTCTCCCAAGAGCTCCTGACGTGGACTACCTGACCGACCAAACACACATATATGTACCGCACCTGTAGGATGCCTCTCCCAAGAGCTCCTGAACCAGGGCGGAAAGTAAACCGAAGGCCCCCTCAGAGGAGGGACCTAACGGTCTAACTCAGTCCGCTGCACTCAGCACGGAATGGGCCACCGACCGGTCCGACACATCCAAAAGATAAGACCGGACGAAAGAGGAGGACGACGCCCAAGAAGCCGCACGGCAGACGTCCTCGACCGAAGTCCTCGACCGACGCCCCCCTGAGAAGGGCCGTAGAGGCCGCCATCCCACGCGTGGAATGCGACCTGAAGCCCACCGGGGGGCCAGACCCTGCGTCTGATACGCCCGCCGCACAGCCGTGGCGACCCAGTGCGCCAGCCGCTGAGCCGACA